TATATATATATATATATATGAGATTATTTTTATTTTTTTAATTACTATGAGATATGATAAATACCTAAAATTGTATAGAATCACATGTGTGTAATTTTGTAAAATATTTATACACATTCTTTTATTTTAAATTTACTTACATAATTTAAATTAATTATATTAATAAATAATATCTACGTTTTTCATTACATAAAATAGAAAGAAGACTACTTTTATAAATTTTATAAATAAATTATAATAATGCCATTATTTAACAAAACAATTAGAATAAAATAATAGTTGAGTATTATATGGTGAACAAGAATAAATAAAACTGTTATTATTTTATATACTAAAATTAAATTTATAGTATTATAAACGTGTTAGCGGGATACTATATTAATAACTTAAAGGCTAGCTCTAACAAATTCGTGTTTAACGTTCTGGCTATGAAAACTTTGATTGAAAAGAGGTAGAAAATTGATGATCAAATCCTATTGATTTTTTTTGCCTAAACGGACATGCTCTATGAGAGATTCATTTAACATCTATGCACGGGCTACCTACTAGTGAATTCTTAAAAATAATGAGTCGTTATGTTGTGTCGGACGTTTAAAAAAAAAAAAAATACTGACACATGTGGACTTTATTAGAATAATTACTAAAGGACCTAAAGTCTAAAGCCATCTTTAATTCCGGTTTAGAATTGGATGAACCATTGGTTCAACATGATATCAGTCGCTCAAAGCTTGAATTTTGAATGTAAGATTCATGCAATAATTGAAGAGCCATACGGATCCAGTTTGGATTTGTAAATGTTTAACTATGAAATCAAAATGTATTGTTCGTATTTGTTGGAAATGCTATGGAGCCATACGGATCCAGTTTGGATTTGTAAATGTTTAACTATGAAATCAAAATGTATTGTTCGTATTTGTTGGAAATGCTATGGAGCCAGCCGTTGGCTCCATAGCAGGACTGTCGTATTTGTAATCTACCAATTTACTAATTCAAACCAGAATTGTTGTCAACAAGTTCAAATCAATAGTTTGCCAGTTTGGTTCAGAGTTCATATACATTCTTCCTTATTTTCTTTACCAAGCCAACAGCCATATCAACGTTGAACTACCTATCACTAGTAGTTTGGTTCAGAGTTCATATACATTCCTCCTTATTTTCTTTATAATGCCAACAGCCATATAGTTGAACTACCTATCACTAGTAGTACAGTGAGATCTGTCTATCACCATTTCTTTATTGTTTTAATATATGCGACCATAAAAATGTGGCAGCATGCCTTCAAGAAGCTCAAAAAATAAAAACCTAAAAAATTAAAAAAGGTTCAATTACTTCGGAATTTAAACAGAACAATGTTTTTGGTAATCGCACAACGATATTTGACACAACACAATATCAAATGATAAGTACTACTGCATCCCCCTAAATCTGGAGTTCAGATATTTATCCAAAACAATGAGATCATAACAGACAGATCTTTTTAATTTCATTTTTCTTCCTTGAAAAAAAAAAAATGAACAGGAAGGNAAAAGAAAAACCACCCTAAAAATCCCAGATACCCCAAGTTACATAAAGACCCAATGGAGACTTGACAGATTCATTTATGAGGAGAAATGAGGCAGCCTGCATGACAACTCTTCCTGCCCTTGCCTTGGGAATCAAAGCATCAAACTGAAGGGGCAGCCCAATCCTTAATAGCTCTAATCCAACACCAAAGGTCATCCCAATCTTCACCAATTATGTTTCCATGGGCCCACCATTCTCAATGGCAAAGCTATCAACAACTCGGAACCCCATTCGAACTTGGTTTCTTCTCCAAAACAGCATCTCCAGCTATTGTAATCGAGTTGTCTTCTCGAGTCTTGATGTCCCCATTACTAGCAACAGTTTCGCCAGATTCCACTTCCGGCGACTTGTTGGTTTCAGAATCACCATTTGAATTTTCCTTGCTTTCTTTAGTCTTCTCCTCAGTGGGTTTGCCTTCCCACATTTTAGCCTATACATAATATCAGTTATTGAAGGTTACATAATAATCATCAACATAGGCACTGCAGCACGAACAGCTAACTCTCAAAACATCTACTTACCTGTTTCTGGTACAGCTGTTGCTTGGCTTTTTTCTCCTGAATTTTTTTCTGGCGATCCTCGTAGAAATCAAAATCGTCCAGGATGCATTGTCTGCTTGTATGATCCTTAAATATCTTGAGCACTTGAAGCCCCTGCTCAAGTTTCACCTGTAGATAGGAATTTATCATATTCACTGCTGTTATTGCCATGCAATTTTTATATTAAAAAAAAGGTATTGGAATGAGTATTATAGTTTCTTCTGGCGAACATTACAACAAACCACAGCGAATGAACATACATACCTCCTGTGTGTCCCTGCTATTAGTTACAGGCTTGTTCTCATTGTTCTCGAGGGTTATGTGCTTCAACAAGCTGTTCGGTACATCCTTCACTATATGCCACTTAACAGGAAAACAGCCAATCCACTTGTCCTGCTGCCAGTACTCAACATTCTTGTCGAAATCAACAGGACCAACCATTTCAGCAACTCCAACAAATTGGCCACTCGTATTGACCTAACCACCAAGACAGAAAAAGTAGGTCAGTACATTAAAAGTTAACAAACCCTATTAAGCAACCACCATCAAATTACATAATGCTTACAGAGAAGAAAAGAAAAACGGGGCAGCCTCCAGACTTCCGTTGAGCCTCATTGTAAGCTGCATCCAGTTTTTTGTTACCATTTGGAGTGCTGGCCCAGATGTTGTACTTAATGCTCTTGTGGACATCATCCTCGCTGTACGATTTGATAACAAAGAACTTGGCATCCAAATAGGTGTCAAGAAAATCAGGTTTGTTGTATTGTTCCCGATCCAGAGTGATGCTTAATTTATTTTCATTATCGGCTGTTCCAGTTAATGGTATATTTTGCCCTTTGACAGCCAAAGCCACCGGCGTGAAGCCCTTAGGATTCTTAGAGCTACCTTTGGCTCTTGGTCCTCTGTTCAATTCATTGAGGCCATCCACGCTGTCATATCCATAACTGTAAAAGCTATTTCCTCTTCCTTTTGTCTTGTACTTGCTATCAACAGTCATCCAACCCCGTCCATTGATTCGAGGGTCATAACCATTAGACCCATAGCCCAGGCCTGACCCGTAAGCATTTCCATATTGGCCATATAATTTATTGGGATACATTCTATTCATGTATCCACCAGCAGAGTTGAATGGCCTTGGGTTATGCAGACCCTGAGAATGAAAAACATTGTAAACCCAGTAAGATATCACACATCAACTGTACACTAATAAATGAAATTACTTCACCAAGATCTGCCACACATATCCACTAGAACACAATATGGATATCAATTTCACATAAAATGTCATTGACAATTGTTCAAATACATCATGTTGATTTCTGTTGGAAAGTATTATAACAACGAAAAATGATTTTTATTTTCCCATAAAATGTAAGTATTGGTCATAAGTTGGTGAAAAAAGTATGTCAAAGAGTGTTCTCTGAAAATTTTGAGGGTTAAACAAATCTTATTATATAAGAACATCCTGCACATCTTATTAAAAAAACACCAAAAGAGAACAATACTATGAAGACATACCATCACATGAGGCCGGAAATTCTGGTCCTTGGATGGAGGAACACTACTTCCAGTCACAACAGAGGAAGTCATTGATGAGCTGGTAACAGGCCTTTGCTGCCCTGAGAAATACTGATTCTCTAACCATGGAAATGGTGTCTGGAAACTATCAAATCCAAATCTTGGATCCTGATAACCAGACACAGGAATTCCTCCTGGCAAAGAACCTGGCAAAGAACCTTTTCCGTAGGTACTGTTACCATTAACTGATGAATTTTGATAAGTTGATCTTGTTGTCGCTGTACCATTATTCCCCTTGCCGACCCCACCATTGGCGATACCACTGGATTTTGTATTAGCAGAATCCACCGACAACGGTGTTTGGTCAGCCTTTGCAGAGGTGGCATTCTCACCTTTGGCTGGGGCAGCTGGCGTAGGGTACTGACCATTTGGTGTCAACGAATGGAAATAAGGAGCTGGATATTGATAGTGCTGAGCTCCATACAACTGGCCATCATGTCCCAAGGTTGGGACTGGGGACGTAGCAGGTGAATACGGTGCATAAGAGGTATAGCCATAGCCATGGTGATATATTAGGGATCCATTGTCTCCATAAGCTCCCTGGGATATTTCACAAGAAGGAAAAATAGTTGAATTTTCCATTACAATGAAAGAATTAACTGGACTGTAACTAATAATCAATAGATTGCACAATTATCTAGTCAATACATAAGTTAAGAAAGAAGATGGCACCCAAAACTCAAGATTACTTACTGGAGTCATCTCCACTCCCTCGGGATTCATGTATCTTGTGTAACTCTCCCAGTCATTACCATCCAATCCTGAATACAAATTAAGACAGATGAATCACATAGCATAAATTCATGAACAGAAATCCAATGAACGACCCAGGCTAAATACTGGATAAGATCTGCAAACAAAATTTCTTCAGATTCATAGGTAACACACATACCGCCGTAATAATATGCAGGATAAGCACCATTTGGAACATAGCACACAGTCGGATCCATTAAATCCGGCAACAAAGGTGTAACAGATCGATCCGACGGAACTCCATTAGCCATGTTAGTAGAATCAGCTGACGGCTGCACACAACATTAGAAGTTCATGTTTAAGAACATAGCTCCTGGTTACAAACAACATACAAGTAGCAAAGTTCCTTGAAATATGAAATTCTGCAAGCAAGCACCTTTTTGGCAGAATCTTGGCCCTCAAAGTTCTTTGCTTGCGAGTCCAAAGATAGTTTCTGCAACAAATCTGCAGCTTCTGTCGTAAACCCATGTAAAGGAACACATTTTACCCCCAATAGAGTCCAATATCCAAAACACAAATGTAATGAATAAAGGGTCAGTAATATTAACTTCAGTTGGTTCAAAAACCATACGAATCGAAACATTCTCTCACAAGAACTTATACTGCTTCAACTTAATAATAAAAACAGACCGTGGGAACTAGTTGAAACTTCTTCCATAAGAAATAACACACAGCCAACTCCATCCTACTAAGAATAACCCACCATACAGCACAAATTGAACAATTAAAATAAATCAAAATATTTCAGCACTTTAGCAAACAATTATTAAACCACGCTACAAAATTATCTCCAAGCCAAAATAAATTCTTACAAAAAAAAAGGAAGCAAACAAGGATGGAACCTCAGACAAATCTGGAGATTACTCTATGCAACATCATCAAATTCAACAAACTCAGATCTACAACAGCACAAGAATCAACCAAGATATAAGTTCAAATAACATCGGGTTGTATGCACTTAGAACTAAAAATTAAAAAATAAAGATTGAACATAGAGCAGCTAAAAAAGAAGGCCAATAAAACGATAAAAGCTACAAAGCACGCGTCATAAAAAAGGATACGATCTGCTGGAGGAGCAACGGCGGCCATGAGCGGAAGGAGGATTTTTGTTTGGACAGAGAGAGAAAGAAACCCTAGGAGCGAGAGAGGGAGAAAAGGCCGCCACCAAAGAGCGAAAGGGGTTTTGAAGGAGAGAGAAGAAAGAAAGATAGTGAGACGAGTGATTCAAATACTACCACCTCTTCTTTCTCTTTGGTCCTTGTATTTTTGGCTATTTGCAGATCTTTCTTTCTATATAATTTCGTCACCTGACGGTGATGTTAATTGATAACTGACTGTTGGGAATGCATACGTGGCTGGCTTTTATTGGCCCAACTGCATCATTCACGCGTGGGTCGTTTCCTACGTGTCCAGCATCAGGTAAAATAAATAAGGCTTAATGTGAAAAGTCAAGAACATCCCCCCTCTCTTGTGTTGGGATATTTATTTTTGCATATCACCTTAAGCCTTAAGGAAGAAGAAACGATTGAGATCTAATTTCTATTAGAGGAAAGTGGAAAATAGACAAAATTCTCACTATATATAACTAGTACAGAGTTTGTGTGGGTGCACAATTTTAAAATTATTTATTCAAGTTTATAATTATATACATGAATAAAAAAAAATGTATGGAATACGTGATCCGTGCGAAGCACGGGATATATTTATTTGGAGAATATTATATTATAAGATACAATATTTAATAAAAGTTTATAATACGCAAGAAAATTATACAATGTTCAATAAAAGTTTTATAATATTCAAATGGAGTCTTAAAGTCTCTTGTACATTAAAATCACCGACAAAATAATATTTTAATCAATGAGTTTTTTTTCCTTGTAGCCAAATTGTGAATGTGATTTGAGGAGTACAACAAATCGATATATAGCTGACTTGCTTTTTTCATTGTAGTTTTTTTTCTTTTTTTTTATAATGAATTAAAAGATATTCTAAAATATAGCAAAAATTAATTTTTTTATTACAATAAAGAATTTTACTAAATATAAACTCTCAATCTATGGTGTTAATCAACGTTTAAGTCTAAAAAATTAGGAATTTTTACCTCTTTAAATCAACGTTTAAGTCTAAAAAACAATAGATTTATTATAAGTTTTTTTCTACATCTTTTAAAACATTAAATATGAGCATGTTAGGGCTAGCTTGTAAAATAATTAATATATTATTTCACTAAAAAATTTATACTAATAAAAATTTAATTTTAGCATATAAATTTATCCCTTGATATAAGAGAAAGTAACAGTTTTACTTATTGTTGTTCACTATATAATATTTCATTATTATTTTATTATATAATGAAATAGAAATATTGATAAATAGTGTAGTAGAATTGTTATAAAATTATATGATTTTTTTTTTTACAATATGAATTTAATATTTTTTTATGATTTGATAATATAAACAAATCTATACTTAACTTTGACAAATAAAACAAATAAATACTTTAGTAAGTATTTAATGTATATACTAAATAGGAATATATTTGGTATAATCAAATACCAAATATAATCAAATAAGTCAAAGTGTACATTTTTATTTGGTATTTGATTTTTTTATTATTAAAATCTTTTTATTATAATTACCTTTTTAAAATAAAACAAATAAATAAATCAATTAAATAAACAAAATATTATAATATCAAAATAGTAATGACATTTAATGCAATTGACTTTTCTGGATAGTAAATGTAGTAAATAGAATCTCTTTTTATATAAGTATAGATATGATATTATATTATGTTGCTCAAAATAGTAATGCATTTATTGCATTGACTTTTCAACTTACTAAATTTCGTAAATGGTACACCTTATTATATAAGTATAGATAAAGCCGCAGGATAGCATCATCAAAGAAAGAAATAAAGAAAATACCTAATTTATTTTTCAATCGCGTCAACAAAATAAAATAAAATAAAATATATATAATTATGGATAACATTCCAATATAGACATGGTCAAATTACGGGCTGAGTTCGGGTTCGGGCCCTGCCCAGCCCGGCGGTTGCCGAGTTCAAAATCACCGAGGTATGTGCCGGTACATGACCCTGGGCCGGCCTAACATGGAATCGAGACTTGAAAAAAATATACCATTGATTTCCAGCCCAGTTTGAATCTGGGCACGGCCCAGACCCGCGGTCAACAGTCTGGTCTGGTGTGTGCCGGTTTTGAGTCGGCGGGCTAAGTGGCCATCATATAATATAATGCTTGTACACAATAATGTTAAGGAGTCAACTGTTGGCTCTGTTATAAAGCCAACAGTCAATGGGACAGCTCCATGTGAGGTTGTCCCACATGACTCCAATGTAGGACAGTCCCACATGGAGTTGTCCCATTGGCTGTTGGCTCCATAACGGAGCCAACAATTAGCTCCTTAGCATTATTGTGCTTGTACAAAAATAAAATCTCAACTATCATCAACAAAAATAAAAAATATGACACTCACATAGCAGCAGCAACACAGCACAAATATTGGGTGATTATTCTTGATCAGTGATTTCTCACACCAAATTAACGCCATTACCTCAAATGATGAAGATATTTTTCCAATGCTACAATATTTCAGCCTGAAAATAGATGATAATTAATTTGGTGATGATACGCATACACATCACCATGGGGATGTTCAAAAATTTTAAACAACCTTCCTTAAGGTCTGGTACGTAGGTGGATATATGAAAATCAATTTTAAGCCACATAGATAGACTCTTGACCTCACACTGAAAATGAATCCCTCATCATGCTCAACAAGCAAACTAATAAGCAACGACACTTAAGTACTTAACAATCTCTTTCTCGTCTTTCATTCATCACTTGCCCTGCCCCGAATGATGGCTGGATTTTCTGAACGTTATTTTGAACTCCTCCAGGCTGGTCTTCAGACACGGTGCAAGTTACAGTATGTTTTCAAATTACCAATGATAAAATTGCATTCATATTGATTAAATTGCACTTCCAACTGTTCAATCTCGGCGTTCGTAGGCAATTGGGTCCGAAGTGATATAGTGATGAGAGAAATGGCACCTGGGCTTGACTGTTGGTTGATGAAAAGCGGCCGAAGAAAGAAGTATCCTCACGCTCAAGTAACATGGCAAACTGACCATGATACACTGAAGCAACCACAGGCTCAGCATTCCCATCAAGTGGAAAATCTTCCGACATTAACAGTGAAATTTCCAAAGATAATATTTTTTTTCTTCGGGTAGCTAGCTGCTAACTGTTTCAGATTGAAAAGATGATTTTAAAAAGATAATTAATGAAATATAACATTTTAATTTTGAAGATGGAATTACTAATCACGGAATCACCTGATAATAGTAAGCTGGATGAAATTCCCATTCTGTTGGTTTATCAGCAGGAACCAAGGTCATAACACTGGCCGAGCTTGTCTCCAGCATTTGAGCAAATACCAAATATTGTCTACTTAACCATTCCCAATGAAGAAATAAAATTTCTGTGAGCTCCCTCAAGTCTCTTATAATTAGCAGTGTGCTGACGGAACCATGCAATTGCTTCTACAACTTTTCCTCCATGTAGCATAATGTTGACATCTTAAAATGTAGTTGTTCAGCGGTAGTCTTCATTTCAACTAGGCATTGAATTGGGGGCATTCTTGTTGATGTTCCAACAATCTGTGTATAATCAGAAATGACAATTAGGCAATGAAGGATTGCATGAGTAAAACTAACCATGGAACAGTGCTATGTTCCATTATACTTCAAACTGAAGTCAACTATGGCAAAGACAACTGATTCATGTAGACATGAGTTCAAAGGACATAAATACTAAGAAAATGTGAAAGGCAACAACAAGCTTCTTCCTCTAATAAAATGAAACAAATCTTTTCAGAAGAATTTAATTTTCTCATGAATATTTTCTAACTATAGGAGAAAATGGGTCTAACCAGATTCACTCAGAAAACCTATTTAATATTTCTTTTCAGAAGAATTTGATTTTCTCATTAATATTCTCTAACTATAGGAGAAAAATGGGTCAGCGAAATTTTACGATGGATGACAAAAAGGCCGATCAAGAAACTCGGATAAGGGCATAGTTAGAGTAACATGCCTGCTTATGGAGTGAACCAAACTGGTAAGCAGGCCGGTTCCCCGTCCAACCGGTTGAACCGGCTGGTCCGATCCGGTTTTAAGAACCATGCTAAAACCATCAAAAATCTTTTCCAAAAAATGGGAAAAGTAAAACAATGCGTATTTGTTCTAAACCTATATTTGGAATCAGGCATGATAGCTAATATAATTAGAATATGCATGATTCTTCATTTTTTTCTTTATTTATTTACAAAAATGTCATTATACACTATTAAATTAATTAATGATAAAAATATATACAATCATATATTGTACATATAAACTAAATAAAAATTACCGGTTCGACCACTGGTCCGACCAGTGAACCATTAAACTTGTAGCTTCACCGGTTGGATGACCGGTTCGGTTTTTAGAACCTTGAGCAAAACCGTAAATAAAAAAGGGACACTTGTCAGTTTTTTAAGAGCCCATGAGAGGACACGTGTCGCCATAGACGCCATGTAACTATTTCATATAGATATAGAATAGAATATAAATCAGTCTTTTTCATTGCATAATAAGTACAAAGCCTTGTTTCTTTATAATGCTAAGTAATGAATATCAAAGAAATGGCATTATGCAAAGGAACTCCCAATTAATTCCCAATTCAAAGAAACTGCATTATGCAGGCTCAAGTTAGCAGAAACCAGAAATTACATAACATGTCACAAAGTACCTTATAGAAAATTAACTTGTGCTTGTGTGTGTGTATATGTGTAATGTTTATATGCATGTAACTGTAGTCACTCAAACACCCGAACATTCATATACTACAACCGCAGTCCAATCCGAAAAACACGACAGTCCAGTCAAGGGTCAAGATGTGGTGACGGTCTCGGCCTCAGACGACAGCTGGAGAGGCTCCAACGAGTCAACAATGTCCCTCATTAGAGGCCTCGCTTTCGGGTTGCGATTCAGACAGTGGTACGCCAGCATGGCAGCCTTGTGGAAGCCCTTCACAGGGTAGTCCCCTTCGAGCCGCGGGTCCACAATGCTCAGCACTTTCTTCTTCTCTCTCACCAATGGCACTGCCCAATCTGTGAGGTTCTGCTCGCGGGCCGGCCTCGATTTATCCAGTGATTTCCTCCCTGTTAAGATTTCCAGCAAAACCACTCCAAAGCTGTACACATCGCTCCTCGGTGTCAAGTGGCCTCAACAAAACGAAACAAACATTTTAAGCATGTTTGTTTATAGAAATTTTTGGTTTTGTTTAGATTTTTTGGTTTGGCTTGGTTAATTTTGAAAATAGTGGTATGGTTAGTTGTTAGTGGGTATATTAAAATAATATTTGAAATAAAATAATTAAAATTGATTTGATGTAAAAGTATGAGAGGGGTGATTTGAAATGATGGTAATTTAAAATAATGTGAGTGGATGAATAGTGAATTAAGGTTGATGTGGTGTGTATGAATGAATGATTGATATTATTTAATTATATTGATAATATTGATTATAGTAGGTTGAGTTAAAGTTGAGTTAAAAAATTGTACCAAAAAAAAAATTGAGTTTAAAAAAGTGGTTGAGTTAAAATGTTAGTAATTTTTTTAAAAATTTTCATAAACAAAGCTCTAAGTCTCTAATCTAATCCTTTTTTTTTTTTTAATAATGAATGAGAAACTGTGATATATACCTGTCATTATGTATTCTGGTGCGGCATACCCGTAAGTCCCCATAATACGTGTAGAAACATGGGATTTGTCCCCTACTGGCCCATCTTTGGCTAGTCCGAAATCGGAAAGCTTTGCATTGTAGTCCTGTTGCATACATACTCGTATGGCTAGCTAGATTTGTGGAATTAGAGGCTATATTTTGAGAGTTTATTTGTTTATAACTAACTCACCTGGTCCAACAAAATGTTTGACGTCTTAAAATCTCGGTAGATGACGGGTTTCTCAGCTTCGTGAAGGAAAGCGAGTCCTTTTGCTGCACCGTATGCGATTTTCATTCTGGTAGACCAAGGCAAGGGAACAAATACTCCTGCACAAATTTTAGTGTATGCTGTTATCATCATTATATTAATTACATGCTGAGCAACTATTTTTTTCTCATTTTCTACTTTAACAAAGGTTTGCTACCGCAACATTGTATCATTCGATTATTATGGACTCAAACATGACGCCACAGAATATAGATGTGCAAACTAATTCTACAGCCGATTAAGTTTTGCTGTTAGTAACAATTTCATACTAGTCAGTGGCAGAAATCAGGATAATATTTGTTAGAGTTGCTCTTACATGCGATGCAGAGATCCTTGACGGGGCATATATGTGGTAGATTTAGTGAATTACTCACACACCAGAGAAAGAGGCATTTCTTTGGTAATAACTATATAACAACTTTGTTAGGCAGTGTATAATAAGTTGTATGAATTACAAATCAACTGCTAAAAGCTGTAAGAGATTATATGCAAAACCTAGCTATCATGTTGCTTATTGTAACACCAAGATAATACAACTCATGTCACTTGCCTTAACAAGTTAATCAAACAGGAAAAAAAAAAGACCGGAGGAAGTAGATGAAAAATGTGAGGAGAAAAAATTCGGACTTACTCGAGAAGAGATTGTTTTCGACGCTACCTCTTGCCATGTACTCATATATCAAAACTCGATGCTCGTCCTCACAGCAATACCCAATTAACTTCACTAAATTAGGATGCGAAAGTTGCCCCAGAAATATCACCTCAGCCTAAAATGGGAGTCCAGCTGAATAAATAATTATAACAACAATGACAATAATAACAATTGATTTCCAATAATAGTATAGCATCGTTAAAANAAAAAAAAAAAAAAAAAAAAATTGGGGATGAAAATTTGTGACTCACCAACCATTCCCTATGACCTTGATAGCTATTATCTCCATCGTGAACCTTAACGGCCACGGGGCTCGACTGAAGCCCTTGTCTTAAATCCTCAGAAATATAGCCTTTGTAGACCCTTCCGAAACCTCCTCCACCCACCATGTAATCCTGTCTGAAATTCTGAGTCATTGTCTTTATTTCGTTGAATGTGAAAGCGATGAGCGGATTTGCAGCTGTTGACCGGCGCAGGTCCTCCACTTCTTCAGGGTTTGACGGCAGTTTAGTTGAGGCGGCCCGGCTTGTTTTCCCGGACGGGATCTCATCCTTGGGAGATTCTGGAGGAAAATTGTAAAAGGTATATTCATGAGTTGTGAAGATTAAAGGGGATGTGAACAGTGAATAGAGAAGAATGAAAGAAAGTAAATTTTAACACAAGCGTCCGTTTTTGTTTACTCTGTAATTTGGGATAAAACATGGATAAAATGTGAAAAACAGAGTACCATAAGACAAAAGTTTGAAAAGACATACAATCAGAGTAACTAAGATCAGAAAAAAAACAAGAGAATGGAGAACAAGAGAGAGAGAGAGCGTTTTAGCATTTTAACGAAAATATTTCATAATCTTTGAGAAGTATTCAGCATTCATAAAATTCTGGGTATTAAGAAGATAGTAAGTAAAAAAAAAAAGAAAGAAAAAGAAAAGGAAAACAGACCAGGCTTTGCATTGGATGGAAGTCCGTAAATTGAATTCTCCCACCCACACCAGCAGTTCCCCATCACACACTAAAATCCCCTTTCTCTTAATATATATACATAGCTCAAAAATATGATCAATGTTCGCAAACACACCTGGTATGAATAAGAACGAAAAAAAGAGAAGACAGGACAGAGAAAAAAAAAAACCCAAATGTGAAATAAGCTAATTACAAAGTGAGAGATAGTGTGTGTTTCTTGTTAATGGCAATGATATCTCCGTTTTGTGCGCTTTAATTTTTCGCAGTGTATGTGTTGATTGGTTGCAGATGGTGTTAGTGCGTGTGTATTTGAGCGCATTTTTGAAATTTCTGAGCCCCACCAAATTAACATCATTCTACCCTTTTCTGACTTTGGCGTGCGCTCTGTACTACTCCTCCCTTTTTTTTCTTGCCTTTTGATTATTCCTTGGAAAATGCTACATAATAAATGTACATAGAAGTGTACATAATACTCATATGGAATGAGGTCCACTTGATTTTTCTATTTTTGGTAGGTCTCACTCAATGTGAATGTTATGTACACCTTATGTACAATACTAGTACAGTACCCGTGCGATGCACGGGGTTTATTATTTTCGTCATTTTTAAAAGACAATTTTGTATTTAAATTCGAATTATATAATAAAGTATCGATCATTGATTATAATTAAACTTAACAAATACATATTATAAGATACGCGTAATGATTTATATTAATCATATTGGGCTTGTAAAATAAGAATGTTTTTGAAAAATGTTGGCTTCAAAAAATTCATATCTGCCCAATTTACAATGTTGGCTTCGAAAGTTCATATCGGCCCAAACAAAACAGAAAAAATAATTCAATGATCCAGATTAGTCAACGGAAATCGACAGTTTAGATTACACTGAACATAGTATAAATAGTGAAATTATCGGACCAAGGGCTTCATTTCTTCCTTCATTTTTTGCCGCTTTCAGCTTCTTCTTTCGTCTTTTTTCATCGATCTTCCAACTTTTCCGTTCTAACACTGAGGGCCTTATAAATACATATTCTCTTTTAGTTTTTATTTAATCGATACTATAAATTATTTTAGGTGTTTTGCACGAAACAAAATATGGATTGTAATTTGAGGGTTTTTATTTTCGATTTTTATAGTTTTATGTTCGAATTTTTGGTTTTTACAATTAATCAAAAGAATCCTTCTAATTTGAGTGTGCGCCGGTAGATTTTGTTAATTTTAGTTGTTTTGCCTGAAAAAAAAATGTGAAATTTTTAATTTTAAGGTTTTTATGTTCAATTTTTGTACTTTTATGTTCGGATTTTTTTGGGTGTTTACGATTAGTCAAAAGAACTCTTAGAATTTGAGTATGTGTCGGTAGATTTGTTATTTTTTGATCGACAAAATTATTTTGTTACACAAAATTTTTTGACATTCAAATGATATTTTTCTTTTAAAACTCAACTCGGCTGAAAACATACAAATCTGACAATTAATTATGTGATATCATTGATTTTGATGAATTGCACACAATTATTAAGGCTTATGAACTTGCAAGTTTTTTTTTCCAAATTAATGATTGTTGATAGCAATTAATTTTAAAAAGAATTGGTATTGAAATAAAACTCAAATTTTTAAAAGCATTATTTGTACCAAAATTGAACAATTTGGTTACTAAAATTAAGTATCTGTGATTAAAGGCATTTAAATGTTTCCATTTAATAAATAAAAAATAAAACAAAACTTGCCCAAAATGGTATGCAATTAATGTTGCCAAATTTTTCTGCTTACTATTTTTGGTAAATAGTAATTCTTATTATATATACTAGTGCGTGGCCCGTGCGATGCACGGAAAAACAATATTTTGATTGTATTATAAATTAAATAAATAAATAACATTAATCATGATTCACCTATTATTTTTAAATTAAATCGGGTTGGATACAGTCCGACCGGATGGACCGAGAACCGGTTTATAACCAGTCTAGTGCGCTTGAATAAAATATTTGCTATCGAATCCGTCAACACCAGTCTGTTGGACTGATAGGATCGATAGGATTTCCTAAACAAATTTTGTTACATTAAAAATTATTTTAAATAAAATTACATATTTAAATAAAATAGAGATTTATAAATTGTTTATCAATTAGTTTAAACATTTGAATTTATAAATTGTTTAGATATTTAAGTAACAATTTTTATTTAAATTTACTACAAAAAGTACTATATATGTATACACTAAAGTATAATGTATTAAAATATGAACAACCACAAATGATTTAATAAAGTAACTTGATCGTTTCGATGACGGTCCGGTTCTGAAAACCTTATATTTACCGTACATTAATATAAATTATAATAAAATAATTATTTTGTTCACATAAATAATAATAAAATTATATATAAATATTCATAAATCATTAATGATGTATGATTATTTGAGGTTTGGACTACATCACATTCACGTAATAAAGTATTTTTAATATTAAAATTTATATTTAGGTTCAATAATCGATTTGGTCTGGTCAAACTGATACATAACTTAGTTACCTAGGACCAACCAAGTTGTGTCAAGTTTTTTTACTATTTTAAATATCACTTAAAAGTAATTCAATCAACATGGCAGTACCCTAATTCAATCACCCGATTGATCCAAAGTAATTTTCTTATTTTTTTTAAATATAATATTTAATTTTATGAAATTAAAAGATTTTATGATTCATATGTCTACACCAAATGATAGTATATTAAGATTATAAATTATATATCTAAAGATGAATTATTTATTTTTATTTTATGCATATTAATAAAAAATAAACATAGTAATTTAAAAAAAAAATCAAGATTAATTGATTGGGTATGCAATTTAAAAAATATTTTTAGTGTTCAATATATATATATATATATATATATATATATACGTGTAACATGATTGAATTTTTGGATTAGAATATATATATTTAAAATGATTTTATTATTAAAAGTCAAAAAGAAAAAATGTCATAAAGATTACAACTTTGAAAAGTTTGTAACCATTAATTTAGGAACCATCCGATTTTAAATGATTTATAATTTTTGAAACATGATACGTACTTTGAAAAGTTTGTAACCATTAATTTAAGAACTATCCGATTTTAAATGATTTATAATTTTTGAAATATGATACGTACATTTAAAACCCATTAATTTATGAACCATCCAATTTTTTGATAATGAATTAAAATTAAAATGTAAAATAAAAAAATTTGTTGAAAATAATATATAATAAATGTGGGTTGACTTTCCCTTACTACTATTTATGGTAAATGTTAATTCTTATTATATATATATAGATATAGTTTATATACATATAGCATTACCTTTATTTTTTTATTGGTGCTTCATTATCGATTATAAATATATGCTGATGGTCTACAATATGTCATCACTATTTTCCTTTTTTATTTTTTTATACACCATAATCACATCTACCGGTCGGTCAGATTCATTTTCATAATATACATGAATAAGAGATCCCGCATATTATATACATGTGTTTTACACTGTTTCACCAAAAAAACTTCTTTTTCACTTCCAAATCTCACGAAATGAATGAACCACATAATTAACAATTATATAAGATTTTCGCATATATACCAACACATATCTAAATCGGACGAAGAGTTAATAATTATGCGAAAGTTATAATCGCATATCTAAACCCACCGCATGATTTACCATATGCGAGAATGTTCTGCATATTTAAATATCGCATATCCAAATAGAACGTCGCATATTTTATGATTATGCGACATACTTTTCGCATGATTTACGACTCGCATATCCAAATCTATAATGTCGTATAATTTTTGAGTTTACTAACGTTATTCGAAGGTTTTGCAGCTTGTTTCCGGATTGAACGCCAGTCTTGAGGTTGAACGCGCTTGAATCTTACTTCGAATCTTCAAAAACGCCTTTGAATCTTCAAGAACACTTGAATCTCGTCGAGATAATTCTCTAGAGCTCTTGAACTTGAATATGAATTATGAAGTGTTTTTTGTTACATTAGGGAGAACCCCTATTTATAGGTGTAGGAGGGAGAACCATACCAAATTTAAGAATCGTAGAACGTGATTTAATTGGTCCATGATGATTCACATAAGATCTTTTAGATCTACATAGATCTCCCCAAGATCTTCTAGAAGACATGTGGTTTATTACCAAGAAATATGATTTGACACTTGACAATATTTGATTGGTCAAGAATTAAAATAATAAAATATCAATTAATTAACTATCTACAAGAACATTTGTTATGCTTTAATGCTTAACTCTTGGACATTTTGCATGGCCTCAAGCTTTTCAATTAGATGTTTACTTGAGTTCCAAGCTTAGCTCCTGGACGTTTGTTTTCACAGTGGAGCTTCCATGTTGGACGTTTGTCTGGCTTCCAAGCTTAGCTTCTAGACGTTTGATTTCATAGGCAAGCTTTGATATAGGACGTTTCGTATGCTTTAAAGCTTAACTCTTGGACGTTTCACATGGCCTCAAGCTTTCCAGTTAGACGTTTAGCAGCAGAATAAGCTTGCAATTTAAAAGTTTTAAATGTGTTGCCCCTTCTCATTTAGACGTTTCTCTTCAGAGTCGGGCTTCGCATTTGGACGTTTCCTTTGCTTCCAAGCTTTGCTCTTGGACGTTTGTTTTCACAGTCGGACTTCTTTGCCGAACGTTTCTTTGGCTGCCAAGCTTAGCTTCTAGACGTTTCTTTGACCTCCGAGCTTTGTTTTTAGACGTTTGAATGCATTTTTTTCTATTAACTTTTTTTTTACCACAAGGATATTTTTGTAAATTTATAATTTTTTAATATTTTTTTCGGGCGACAAGTAGTAATTTGGGGCGACAAATAACAACACCCTTCCAAAATCGAAGGCAAGGAGAAACCGAGAAAGCAATTCTTTTTTCCTTCACCTGACATTTCTCGTAGCCCTTCGTGCTTGTCCCGTCGTCCGGATTCCATCCCAAAAAGAGGGTCGAACAGAGAAACGAAAAACCCTTTTTTCCATCAGCCGCTACCCGCGAGAAGCCTGTCCGGCGTCCGCCCGCGAGAATCCTGTCCTGTGGCCCTCAATTTCACCTCGTCGTTTACTTGTCTTGCGTCCGCCTGACTCTCGAGTAACTTCCGGTGGCCATCTCTCTTTTTAGTTTCTATTTTTTATTTTAATAATTGCTTTTATAATTATTAATTATGGCTTTATGGGAGTAAAATATGTTCAATTCTTGTTCAGTTGCTTGAGGAATAAGTACTATGGAGAAGAAGAAAAAGTGGGTTCAATATAGGCAAATTCCCATTTTCATACTCTGCTTTCTGTTTTGCTTGTT